TCTTACTGCAGTGTAATATGGTATGTCAACAGATTCTGTCTCAGTAGGAAGTTGGGACAAAAATTGACGTAAGCCACTCTTGCTAGTTGGCTTGCGTCATAACGTGAACTTTCTGCATAAGTTTATTTTGTTTAATAATATTATTATTTTTTTCTTAAGTGTCTCTGCGGGCCGGATTGAGAGGCCCAAAGGGCCGCATCTGCCCCGCGGGCCGTATTTTGGAGACCACTGATATACATATCACAAGTCGTTGATTATCAAACCATACAACTTCCGCGCAAAAATAAATTTAATTATTTTGTACTGAATACTGTTCTCACAAACTGATAAACGTCTTGATCAAATTAATGTTTTTAAAATGCTCGACTGGAATCTTCTACTGTCAATTAACCAAAGAAAGCTATTTCTGGTGAATATATATGTGAGAAAATGCACCAGTTTCGACATTATTCGTTTTGATGACCAAAATATAAAAGCCACTATCATGTTTCAGAGATCATGTTTTGCGTATTTTGTATCATAGACAAAAGAAAGAGCGAGACCTATTTCTTTGGCTTTGACGCCTCACGTTTTCTTCATCGGAGTGTTTTTCCTTTCTGTTACAAAGAAAAAGAAGAAAAGAAGCCAGTGATTGGTAAATGTTTTGATGCCGCGGATATCCATCGCTTAAAAAAAGAAAAGATACAAGCAAAGGTTCGTTAAATTGTTCTTTATTGTCTGAATATAATATGTGCGTCATTATAAACATAGAATCTTACAGCCATACTAAAGATCATGCAACACGAAAAGATTTAGACAAACGTAATGTTTAAAGAAACTAGCAAAAGAGAATTTTAGCCATAATTCTGATATAAATTTGTCCTTGATGAGACAATGCCTAAATTCCAAAGCCATGATCAGAGAATGTATTCATAATATTATCAATGCCTAAATACTTCCACTGATTTCATTACTGCAAATACTCGTTTTTCATTGATGCATTTGTACACATTCAATTTCCTTTTTTAATAATATAAAAATTGCATCATATTTATCGTTAAATCGAAGTTTTATTGTACTTCGATGGGTTATTGGACAGGGAAATCACGGCGTCATGTGAGAGTAATGCGGACGCAGAAAAAGATCAGTTTTCAACGCTGTTTATGATTTCAACAGCATTCAGTCATCCCCCAAAATGAGCGAGCGCAATGTTCACCTAAAGTGCCTCTTCCACCAAACATATTTTTAGCAATATCAAATCTATCCATGATATTAAGCTACTTTGAGAAAAAGATTTGAATTTGGTCAATCGTGGACACTGAAAGAAAACAAACGTAACTACATCATTAAATGGGACTTCATCAAACAACTTCCACCTCCGAACAAAAACCAAAGAACCTGCCGTCTTTGCCTTGAAGAAAGGCTACTTATCCTGAAAGGACGTAAAAAGAACATTTTAAGTAAACGTTCCGATATATTTAGTGCATGCCGTCATGTAACTTAACACCTTTTAGTCGATGTATATAGTCAGCAAATAAAATATTATCTGTCAGTTGCCTGAACATCGCCCTACGGCGTGAAACTCTGAGTAGCGACAGCAAACAATTGTCCAATTTTATTTTAGTTCATTTTATCTTACGCTCTTCTAATATATAGAATATTGAGCGCTCTTTTATCCAGGAATATTATCCATAATAATATATAAATATATATATATATACAGTTATACAGTTATACAGTTATACAGTTATACATTGTTATAAAGTTTTTGTCAGAATTATACTTTGATTTAATGTATGCTCCCAAGGGAAATAGTGCGTTTTGTTTTCCGCGAGACACATTAATGAGATTTATGGGAAAATTTGCACGAGACTCGTCGAAACTCAACTACTAATATAAAAATTCACACAATATGTAAGAAGTTCTAGTTCACTGTTCTGAAACTTCACTCGAACGAGGGGACTGTATTTTGACAATTGTTTTTAACATTTCGATAAGATATTTACAGTGGTTGTGCACGATTTTTACAAGACGGAGTTTCAAACGTTGGTACTTCACAATATGGAATATTTGAACTGATAGAGTTAAGATTACGGACAACTGTCAATCCTTAACCTGAGTTTTCGTACTTTATTTTCTTCTACAATACCGTTGCTAAAGTACCAAATCTGTACGACCAATTCATTCACCAATAACTTCAACTTTTTCTTTCGGTAAATGTTTTAAAAATTCATGTGAATGTTTATTACAACAAAAAAATATAACATACGCAAAATAGAACAACTCCCTGAGTTCTAATTAAACTAACTATCTGATTTTTACTGAGATAAAACTCTCATTTGGAGTTTCATCTCCGTATCTCTGACGAATCGTTCTCCCTCAACTTGTATAGTTTGGCGTCTCATTCTTTCAGGCCGTAAGACTTGCACTTCTCTCAATTATGCAAAAAATTCAATTTTTTGTAACTCGTGTCAAATTGGGCATTATATTCAAATGATATTTGTATTTTTCTCATTGTTGATTGTATTGCGCGAAAAAAGAGTTTTAGTTAACGTTTACGGCAAACGGCAATCTAAAATTATCCACTTGCCGATTGATAATTGTGTAGGATAGAGTTCAAATTTTCATCATTAGCCAATTTAAGATCTTTTAAAATCCATTGTTTTGTATGCATTACAACATGCATATTTAAGTATGAGCCCTCCCCCAAAAAATTAATAATCAACCTACACCTATTTCAATATATAAATATGTGCACTGCAAATAACGTTAAATGTTTAACCTAAGCTGTACTAAGGCTGTGTTTACACTACATCGGATTTGCTCATCACGACATCTTCATTTGCTTTAAAGGGGTAACTGTTCGGAGTAAAGGCTTATTAAGTTGATAAATTCAGTCTATTTGATTGCGTATCTGACGTTGAACAAATTCACTGCCTTTTAGTACAAAGGAAATTCAACTTGCTACGATAGTAATCCGAGACAAAACAAACTGAATCGCTATGTGCGTTTACGATGTATAAATCAGTCCATAAATGTAAATTGCTTGCGATCTATTAAGCTTTTTATACAATTTGAATTAGTTTTAATATTGCTAAAATGCCAGAAAGTATATTTATTATAAATTATCTGAAGAAGTATTGTATAATTGTGAATTATATGTGTTATTTCACTAACTTTGTGATATGATTCAATGACACATATGCCTCAGAAAGCGAATATATTTTGCAATAGTAATTCTACAGCTGATGTTAAATTGTTCAAATATTTGAGTCATTTTATAAGTATAGAAATATCGACCAGCAAAATGAGCAAATCCGTTTATTAGTGATATAAACTTGTATCGTTTGCTATATATATGGTCTATGAATTTGAAGATTTTCGCGATATAGCAAATATCTTTCGCTTCCGTTTGTTTTCGTGACAAAATCTGCGAAATGTTTTTTGGTGATTTCATAAAAGTATATGAGTTAATGAGTATATACGCACTGCAGAAGCATAGAGTCCTATTAAGGGCATAAGGCATTAAAACTTACATTTTTTGCACAAATCAATCAATTTGTTCTAAATTTAAAATCAAACATATGGAAAACAATAAACAATATCTATGCTTTACATAACAATCTATTCTTAAGATGATTCGAATTCCGTGGCACAAAATAATTTGACACGAATCGACTCAAAGGATACATATGACGCTCAACAGTATAAACATGAAAACCTGAAAGTTTTAACCATCAATCAGTGAAAGGTTTGTAAGACAAAATACACACAATCATTAGGCGTGTTTTAGGTGCTTACGTACGATGTATAAATATGATCATTATTACCTACTAAATACTATTATGCAACGATTTTGTATGCAATTATTTTGTTCATTTAGCTACCATACCATTTGCAAATTTTATAACAATTTTTATAAAATGCATGTTAGAAATTAATAATCGTTTTATCCAGATTGAATATTGTTGAAATATGTGTTACGTCATTGTTTTTGTGTTATCATCAAATGAAATTTATAAATGTATACCTTACGGGCAAATTCAAATTAAAAATGTTAAAAATAAACTGATGTCATGACATCTTGAGTAATTTAAATATTTAAATTGTTTTAGAAGTAGAACTGTTGATACTGGTTTATATTTGCTATAATTTAGTATTGCTCATTATATTTACAGTTTCTGATTATTAAATTAGAATTTTGCTCATTTTATAATGTTGCAAGTGTGTTTATTTCTTTCATGGCCAATGGGTGTCATATAAATACGTAATAGTAATGAATTCGCCACAAAAAAAGGCCAAAATTCACACCGAAAACCTAAAACTTATAGTATATTTCTCAAATGCAGAACTCACAAACCACACAAGATTTTGCTGCTCCCTTACCTTTGGCTCAAACTTATTTAATGATCTTTTTCTCGCTTTTTATTTATGATGTTTTAAAATAATCAATCTGTGACACTTCCATGTGATTACAAATTTAAAACTACCAAACAAAGCAACTCTACTTATAGTCTAGGAGCGGTAGAAGAGTTTGTATGCATTTCATATATGTGAAGTTATCTCAACTGTTTTTGGGTAGAATGGCCATGACGGGCAACATGGCATATATGCCATTTTTTCAATCCGGAACGAAAGTCTTAAAATTGAGACCCCCCTGAAACGGCAGTGTCAACATAGCTCTAACGTCCAGAAAAAAATAGCAATAACAATTCTGTAATGTTTAAGGTGTTTAGAAACTTCACCTTCAGGGGTGGTCATGGGAGGAAAAATTTACATAAGTGTAATATTTACTGAGAAAATTACCATACACCAGCTATTGGCAAATGCCAATTTTGTATAAATTAACCCCCGTCAAGTGGCATGCGACAGATTTTCACGAAGCTCGCACGTGATCTACATGTTATTTTTAAAGCTGTGTTTTGAATTAAGATCCTAAATATTGTTATGGGAGGTTTTCCCTTACGGATAAAGCTAATCTTTTCATTTTTTCGATTGGTACTAAAATACAATGTATTTCGTTACGATACTGCAATCAAGATACTTATGAAGTCTATGAGGTGGAACTTATTGAGCATAAAAACCACGACACTTTGCAATGCCTCCGCAAGCTCAGCAGCTTGTGGTCTTGGTCTGAACTCCTTGGCGTTCACTCGCAACTTCTTTTGATGGTTGCTGACGTCACATTGTAATTCTAAAGGATAAATCAGTTGGATTGGCCTCTCAAGAGATATTTTTCCACACTGAAATTTGACTCCTCTCACAACTCCATCCCTTCCACGGATCAACATTGTTAACTTTCCGATCTTCCACATATTTCTGTTTTTCTCATCGCCCTTAATTAAAAAGATATCTCCCTCTTTCGAATGAGACGTTGCTGATTTGTTAACTTGATTGCGTTGGCGTAGACTTGTTAAATATTCTCGCTGCCATCTGTTCCACAATTGGGTTTTGATTTTGTACAAATACTTTCCTCGCTTCCGTAATTCCCCGTCCTTAATGTGATGTTTCTCCACTTCAGGGATGACATTCGTCTGTTGCAGTACGAACGAAGATGGCCTTATTACGGGGAGTTCAACAACATCAGTTACACAGCTCAGTGGTCGATTATTCATACATATTTCTACGTCCAGAACAACTTCTGTCAGTTCATCGAATTTCAGAAGTCCTTTACCAACAACTTTGTAAAATGATGATTTGAATAAACCGATCAATCGCTCAAACTGGCCTCCCCAACAGGGTGCGCGGGACAGATGGAATCTTCCTTTAATGCTATGCTTACTGAGCTCACTGGGAAAACCCTCGTCTTGCTTTGCTCTCTTTAACAATGCCGCTGCAGCTTGGAACGTTTTCGCATTGTCCAAATAGATCAGCGAAGGACGGCCTCGCCTTGCTATGAGCCGTTTAAGACTTTGCAGGAACGAAGTTTTCTCAAGACTCTTCAACAAATCAAGATAGACTCCTCGTGTCAAACTACAGGCTTTTAAAAGCACTAGCTAGGCTTTTCCTTCTTGATTTTTCTTCACTTTATACTTAATCAGACCGGCGAAATTGACACCAATGACTTTATACGGTGTGGTTCCTTCTGTTCGAGTCTTTGGTAAAGGAGTAGGTATTGGAGCTTGATACGGTTTGGTCGTGAATCTCTTGCATCTTTAGCATCTCTTCCTTTTGACAAGTCGACGAAGCCGAGGAACCAAATACCTTTCTCGGACCTTTGCCATCGAAAGTATAACTCCCCCATGTAGTGTTTCTAAGAGTGCATCTTCCACTGACTTCACGGTGAATAGAGCGTCATCAGGCAAGTAAATATGGAACTCTCCTTGAATCCGACCATGACATCTTAAAATCTTGTCATCGTCGGGTTGTACATTTAAATGAATCAGATCCGTTGGAGACTTTGGGTTTTCTGTGACTCCGGCTTGTACCATTTTTATCTATCACATGTGTTGCTCTTCCACTTCTTCAGATGTCAGTGGCCCGTGCTTTCAATCATCACGGTTTTGTCGAGCATTATCAATAAATCGTTTCACCCACGCCTCAATTCGCATCGCTTTCCGCAATGGATGTTTTTCAAGAATATCACTGAATATTGCGAAGTCTGACCGCTCGATAGCCATTCTCAAAACTACTCTCGTCGCCTTTGCTTCACTTTGGGAGTCAATCAACGGTTTTACTGTTAGCTCAGGTGGCTGGATTGTTGGTTGTTGCCACATGATTCCACACGATCTCATTAGAAGCTCAGAGTTTTGCCACTCGATACGACACGAATTGCTTATAATCACCCTCTACTTTAATCCACCATAAAGCTACAGTACTATCTAACCAGCAGTGTTTTCTGTGTGGAATGTGCCTCAGCGCATTGCTAGCATTCGAGACCAAATTTGCGGCCATATGACTTGGAACAAGTTGTATTCTTGGGATAGTCAGTCCTCTCTTGGCAAGTGCTGATTTCACTGCATGTAATTCCTGAGTAACTCCAGATGGTTGTTTAGCCACCGTGTAGACGACTACGCACAAACCTTCACCGCTGGCATCCCCAAATCCATGAATCTCTAAGCTACAGATGGGTTCTTGGAATGATAGAACCAATCTTGGCACCCTCACTTCGCTTGGTAAGGTGTTTTCCCACTTCTCCCAGCTCTGCTTCAATTTACCAATCAATTCCGTGTCCCAAGGTATTTTCAGGTCACACACCTCTCGATAGATTTGTTTGCCTTGCAAAAACAGAGAGGATGCAGTTCCCTTTAGATCATAAATCTTCGCCAGTCGACTTAAATTGTTGCGCTTCGTTTGCAATTTTCGACAATGTCCTATTTGTACACTTAACGTATTTTTCTCTTTATTCCACGTTGTACTCAGGATCTTCGTCTCAGTTGGCTGCACCCCAAACAGTTGTTTGGCAGCAGTTTGCTCTTCATGATTTTTGTTAACACTACCTTCATCCAACTCCTTTGCATTTGACGCCCACTTATGAAGGATAAAGGTTGCGCCACCCAGAATGTCAATAGCTTCCAATTTTCTTTTTCGTGCTTCATCCACAGTGCATCCACCTGAAATGATGTCATCAACGTACAGACGCCTATTCAGAGCCTCAACTGCGTCTGGAGCTTTGCTTTTCCAGTTATCCAAATGCGTTTCGAGAACTCCTCCAAGTAGGAATGGAGAAGAAACCAATCCAAACAATACTCTAGTCAACCGTAGTACTTCTATATCAGCCTGTGAATTTGGTCGCCAGTGAAATTTTAAAGAATCCCGTTCACTTTCGCGTACACGAATTTGGAGAAATGCCTTTTGAATATCCCCAGTGATTGCAACAGGAAAACTTCGCGCTCTTACCAGCACTTCCCACAGCTTGTTGTTTAGCGTAGGTCCCGCGTACAGGCATTCGTTTAAAAAAGGACTTTCTGGTGAAGTTTTTGCTGATGCATCTTACACCACTTCCAGTTTAGTGGACAGCGCTGACTTGCGTACGACTTCTTTGTGAGGTATGTAGATATCATTGCCTTTTGCTACGTTAGTTGCTGGTTCAACTATGTCATTATGCTTTTGGTCTTGGATTACAGCGTTGTAATCTTCAGTTAGTTTCTTTCGTTGTAGTCGTCGCTCTAAAGATTCTAACCTTTAGGTGCTTCCTGTTTTGTTCGATGGGAGAAGTGGATGATTTCCACGCCATGGAAGACCGGTCTCTTACCAGCCCTCCGGTGATCGAGTTGATTGCTCTTTAAATTCGTTATACACCATTAATTGGTTGTGTTCAGAAGTGTCTGCTTGACCCAACACATTCAAGCTGCAGAGATCTTTATAATCCTTTTGCAAAATCTGGGTAAGCAACATCCTTTTACTGTTTGGTTCCACACCAGGGCTCATAACAAAGCATCTGAGTTTTGTTTTTTCTGCACTTGGTTGCCCCTCAGTTCCCACTAGTGGATTCGTATGAGGTTTTATCTGTGCATATTCCCCGCTTCCCAAAACAATATGGACAGGTAATTTAGCTTTCTGGTCATTATCAACAAATTTTGCATTCTTCAGGTGTTCAAACTCTCTTTATAAGTTTTCATAGTGTGGATTGTCCACTGTGAGTAACTCTTCTTTCTCCACCTTGATCAACTTCACCTTCATTGAACAATCACTGTCTATTGCTTGAACTTCCCCTTCATAGATTTCCAGTCTTGTAGTTTTTGATGTCAAAAGTATGTCAACTTTAGTGGTTTGTGTCTCAATTGGTTTCACCCTCAGCATAGATGCAAGTTTACCAGATATGTGTGAGCTTCCAGCCCCTGAGTCGATCAGTGCACGATATGTAATTCCATTTATCTTGACAACAAGAATGGGGAAAATTCCTTCACTAGTACATCCATCTGTAGTCAACACAGTCTGACCTGTTTTTATTGCTTCTTTTCGATTTGCGACATCACATATGCTCGTGTGGGATGTCGGCAATTTCAGCATGATGACTTGCTGGGGCAAGCGTTAGCATGATGCTGTCCTGCTGTACAGTTGAAATAAAGTTTCTTTTTGACTAAAATGGCTTTTCTCTCCTTGAAAGTGCTGATTACTTTACATTCCCCCGACTTATGATTTCCCTCACAATAGACCCATCCCCCCTTTTCTTTGGTAAGAAAGACTTTCTCTGACCTTCTAGATTTCCATCCAGGTGTGTCTGACTCAACTTTCCCTTTCTGGATCATTTCTAACAAGGTCCCCACGTATGGCTAGGAGTTTGTCTAGAGTCTTGGAAACATTTCCTTCGATATCTTTCAGTTTACCCAGCGTTTACAAAGCTTTGACACTGTGATTTTACTTCTCACTAAATTCTGCAATCTTTCTTCTATTTGCTCCGGAGATATAGGCAAGTCCATGATCTCTTTTATGTAAGCTTTTATATTTTCCGTATTCTTCCCATACTGATCTTTTAAAATTGACTTCGCTTTATTGTATCTTTCGGTGATAAACGGTAAAGATTCTACCCGTCGCTTAACTTTGGGCCCAAGGAATCCACACAGATATGTGAATTTGTTGATGGCAGCTATATTTGATTTGTGCACCGTCTCCGTAAATTGCCCCCAAAATCTGGGCCAATCCATGTATTCCCCTTAAAATTTCGTAATATTTATTTTTGATAATCTTACCGACATACCTTCGTCACTTATTGTTGAGTCCCCGGACTTTAAATTTTAAAATTTCCTATTGTTCAATCAGTGTTGTAGCTTGTTTATTTCGTCTTCGGCTTCACCTATTTTTGTTTCCATTTCCGCATTCCAATTGCTGTTTTCTTCAAGGTCGTCTTCTCTTTCGATTTTCACTGCTTCCACAGCTCTTTTAAAATTGTCAGCTTCGTTAATAGTTGTTTTGAATGCGTTTAGTTGTCGCTCGATAGAGTCTTGCTTTCCCGAATCTAATATTTCAGCTGTTCTTTGAGCTGATAACTTCAGTTGAGTTAATTTTATATTGAGTTTTGCTTCGTCGTTTGTCATTTTTGTATGGGGCGCGTAACATCTCGTATGAAATTTTCACAATATATCACAATAACAATCCTTCGTCGGTAGGTGCCTCGTATTCCGAAAGTTGACCTCTAAGAATAATCACACTAAGAATAATCACACTAAGAATAATCACAATCACAACTTTGCGTTTCTTAAACAATTTTGTTCTTACTCCCAAAAATATCTCGCCTATCTCACCATTCTCGTTTCCATTTTCTCCTCTCTCTACTTCCGTTCCATCCATGTTTTCTGTATTGTTCCCTATCATATCCTACGTATCCGAATGTACAATTGAACCCAACACAGCTTTAACATTATTTCCAACATGTATGCGAAATATATTCTATCGTATGCTAGCAAAAACAAGTTACATGCTTGAAATATCGAATAATTAGAATTTCTTGAGTGTAGTGTTTTAAACTATATTATTTTTTCTTTGAAAATATGAAATTTCAGTCGCTGCCAAGAATATTTGTTAATTTATGCAAAATTGGCATTTGACCATAGCTGGTGTATGGTAATTTTTTTCAGTAAATATTAAACTTACAGAATTCTTATTGCTATTTTTTCTGGAAGTTAGAGCTATGTCGACACTGCAGTTTCAGGGGAGTCTCAGTTTCAGGACTTTCGTTCAGGATTGAGCAAATGGCACATATGCCATGCTGCTCGCCATGGTCATTTTACCCAAAAACTGTTAAGATAACTTCTGGTAAATGAAATGCATGTAAACTCTTATACCGGTTCTAGACTATTGTGTGATGAGTGGCATTGATGTGATTATAGAAACAAATTTTACTTTATGCCCGAGTTGCAGAAGAGGAGTGAATGAGGCAATGACTAAGAAAAAATTATTGAGAAGTATTTCTTTTTCAGCTATTCTTATTCTTGTATTGTTCTTATGTTGTGCAGATGTCACAATATTGATATATCGTCGTCGACATCGAAACCTTGCTAAAAAGTGTGTAATTAAGCTATAATAAAGTTAATATGAAATCAGTTAGAAGCCATACAAAAGAAAAAAGACGATCCCAGACACTTATTTGAACTTATTTGCAAGGGAAAGTGCAATGTTTTTTTTAAACTAATATTTACTCTTCGTTTTCTGATAGTTTTTAATTCACTACATAAAAGATATCTTTCAACCTTTGAAAGAAGAAAATGACTCATATAGTTTATTTTGTAAAAGAAAGTAAAAAATTCTCTCCTGGAGGATATTCAAGTGAAGGCTCTAGCTCACAAACCCACATCATCCATGAGTTTAACAGGTAGCAACGTTATATAGCTTTGCTGAATGAAATCTTTTACGAAGTAGCGCTCTTTTCGCACTGTTAAAGAGGTTTGTGCGGATAACATTTAAATTTGGCAATGTTGCATTCCTCTATATCCTTTGATAATTCCTGTCACAGTTTTAACCAAATCTAATTCTTAATTTATTTGAATAACAC